GCCACCGCCGCGAGTTTTTTTGTATTTTTAGTAGAGACGGGTTTTCACCAGTGTACCAGGATGGTCTCGATCTCCTGACCTTTGATCCGCCCGTCTCGCTCCAAAGTTGCTGGGATTACAGGCGATGAGCCACCGCTAGCCCGGCCAGAGACGAGGGTTTCACCACATTGCTCAGGCTGGTCTCGAAACTTCCTGACATAAAGTGATTCGCCCACCTCAGCCTCCCAAAGGTGCGGGCATTACAGCTCTGAGCCACCGTTGTCCCGGCCAAAAGTTTTTTTTTTCTTTTTTTTTTTTTTTTTTTTGAGACGGAAGTCTGGCTCTGTCGCCCAGGCTGGAGTCAGGGCCGGATCTCAGTGCTCACTGCAACTCCCTACCCGGGTTCACGGCAATTCTCGCTGCTCAGCCTCCCCGAGTAGCCTGGGACTACAGCGTCCGCGCACACTCGCCCGGCATAGTTTTTTGGTATTTTTCTCAGTAAGACGGGGCTTGTCACCGTGTTTAGCCAGGGATGGTCTCGATCTCCTGACCTTGATCCGCCGGTGATCCGCCCGTCTCGGCCTCCCAAAGTGCTGGGATTACAGGCTTGAGCCACCGTGCCCGGCCAAAGTTTTTTTTTTTTGTTTGTTTGTGGCAATAAAGTCTCATTGTGTTACCCAGGCTAGACTTACACTCCCAGAAAAAGTGATCCTCCTCCCTCAGCCTCCCAAAGTGCTGGGATTACAGGTGGGCTCCACTGTGCCTGTTCCTATCAGGAAGTTCTTTTCCACCCTGTTTTTCTGGGTGCCTCCTCTGGCTCAGCTGCACCCTGCAGGGTGACACGAAGGGATGGGGAGGCACTCTCGGTTCCATTGCCGGGTTTCCTCTGCCCCCCTGACCTTGCTCCCCGGGTCCCCAGGCTCCATCGCCTACCTCATCTTCACCAACCGGCACGAGGTCAGGAAGATGACGCTGGACCGGAGTGAGTACACCAGCCTCATCCCCAACCTGAGGAATGTGGTCGCTCTGGACACGGAGGTGGCCAGCAATAGAATCTACTGGTCCGACCTGTCCCAGAGAATGATCTACAGGTGAGCGTCGCCCCTGCCTGCAGCCTTGGCCCACAGATGAGATGAGGGCTCCCGGCCCTGACGCCCTCCTCTCCTCCTGCCTCAGCACCCAGCTTGACAGAGCCCACAGCGTCTCCTCCTACGACACCGTCATCAGCAGGGACCTCCAGGCCCCCGACGGGCTGGCTGTGGACTGGATCCACAGCAACATCTACTGGACCGACTCTGTCCTGGGCACTGTCTCCGTTGCGGATACCAAGGGTGTGAAGAGGAAAACGTTATTCAGAGAGAACGGCTCTAAGCCAAGGGCCATCGTGGTGGATCCTGTTCATGGGTGCGTATCTACGACGCTGAAGGGTGCAGAGGGAAGGGAGGGAGCAGGAAGGGGCTTCAGGAACTGGTTAATGGGCTGGGCATCGTGGCTCAAAGTGCCTGTAATCCCAGCACTTTGGGAGGCTGAGGAGGGTGGATCATCTGAGGTCAAGAGTTCAAGACCAGCCTGACCAACGTGGTGAAACCTCATCTCTACTAAAAATACAAAAATTAGCCGGGTGTGGTGACGTGCACCTGTAATCCCAGCTACTCGGGAGGCTGAGGCAGGAGAATCACTTGAACCTGGGAGGCGGAGGTTGCGGTGAGCTGAGATTGTGACATTGCACTCCAGCCTGGGCAACAAGAGTGAAACTCCGTCAAAAAAAAAAAAAAAAGAGAAATTTCAGCTGATACAGCTTCACACTCTTGGTTGGGTTCCTGTGGTGAGTGGTGAGGTCACGTCATGGCTGGGGATGACACCTGGCTGTTTCCTTGATTACATCCTTTGAGAGGCCAGGCTGTCCCCTGGCTGCCTTCGAAGATATGGGTTTTGGCCTGGGTCCCATTGCTCCGTTTCCAGCCATTGGGGAGGAGTCCCCCCACCAAGCCTCTTTCTCTGCCTCCCAGATATCGATGAGTGTCAGGATCCCGACACCTGCAGCCAGCTCTGCGTGAACCTGGAGGGGAGCTACAAGTGCCAGTGTGAGGAAGGCTTCCAGCTGGACCCTCACACCAAGGCCTGCAAAGCTGTGGGTGAGCATGGGAAGGTGGCGGGTGGGGGCGGCCTCACCCCTTGCAGGTGAGGAGTTTCATCATCTGAACTTTGCACAGACTCATATCCCCTGGCCAGGAGGCTGTTTGCTCCCAAGGGCTCTGGCAGCAGAGTCCGCTGCCCTGTTAGGACTTGGGCTTGCCAGGGGCATGACTGCATAAAACCTAGTTTCTAGGAATATCCAGTTAACAAAACCCTCAGCCCTGCTGGTGGAACAGGAACCGGCTTTCCTTTCAGGGACAACCTGGGGAGTGATTTCAAGGGGTTAAAGAAGAAAAAATTAGCCAGGTGTGGTGCCGCACACCTGTGGTCCTGGCTACTCTGGAGGCTGAGGCAGGAGGATCGCTTGAGGCTACTCAGGAGGCTGAGGCGGGAGGATCGCTTGAGGCCAGGAGGATTGGTTCATCCTCCCATGTCGGCCTCTGGAGTAGCCAGGACCTCAGGTGCATGCCACCATGCCCAGCTAATTTTCATATTTTTAGTAAAGACAGGGTTTCACCATGTTGGCCAGGCTAGTCTCAAATTCCTGAACCCAAGTGATCCTCCTGCCTTGGCCTCCCAAAGTGCTAGGATTACAGACACCACACCTGGCTATTATTGTTTTTTAGAGACAGGGTCTTGCTGTGTCTTCCAGCCTGTAGTGCAGTGCAGCCTCCATCATAGCTTACTGCAGCCTTGACCTCCTGGGTTCACACAATCCTGCTACCTCAGCCTCTGGAGTAGCTGGGACTACTGGCATGTGCCACCATACCTGGGTAATTTTTTTTTTTTTTTTTT